CTCCTCCCATCAACTTCACTCGCTTGTGGTTCGTTTCCCCCTCCTCCCTCTCACTTCCGTACTGCAGCCTCCCTCTGCTGTCCAATTACGTGCTACAGCTGGATGCGGCCGAGGTGGCGCAGCTGCCCGGGGACGGGGACGAGGGTACGGCATTCCAGGAGCTACTGCTGAAACCCCTCTGCGCCCTCAGTGGGGGGGGAGCGGGTGTGATGGGGGCGGGGCAGGTGCGTGTGGGGTGGGGTGGGGGTGGGGGTGGGGGGAGATTTGGGTTTTGGTTTCGTGGGGAGCTGAAGGGGGGAGGAAGCCGTGGGGGGTAATAGGGGGGACGGGGGGGATGAGGGTTTGAGGGCTCTAGGGTTTTAGCACTGGGCTGTGCGGGCAGGTGGGGCAGGAGAGTGAGCTTGGGGGTGAAGTAGCTGGTGGTGGTAGCTCAGCGATGACCACATTTGCAAATCGGGGTTGGAGTCTTCTTGAGGTTGGGGGGTGAATGGGTTTGGGCTGTGTGGGGTTGGAAGTTGAGATTCGGTCGGGCGGAGGAGAGGGGGGAAGATGAACCACGTGAACGAGTGAAGGTGATGCCAAGGAAAGACTGATGCGCCAGAAGTAAAGAAGGCATAACTAACCATAATATGCTTGGGGGGTTGTAGTGTTTGGGTTGCGTGCGAGTATCCCATGTGGGGGCTCGTTTGCGCCATACATAAATACATACATACATGCACAATAATCTTTCGCTCCACCTCTTTCCCCCTAGGGTGAATAGCGTGCGATTTGAAACCCCGCACCCAACTTTCTTCAAGCGCAGGTGATCATCCTGATCGACGGGCTGGATGAGGCGGACCCGCCCACCCCCGCGGGGCAGCCGCCGCCGCCGCCACTGCTACTGCCGCTGTCCCCCCGCCGCCTTCCCTCACCGTTGCACGGCACGGACGCGACGGCGGCCCTCCTCTTGTCGCCGTCGGCGCGCGGCAGTAGCCGCGCGGCACTTCTACCGCCGACGTCATCATCTCCCGCCGCCGCCGCCGCCGCACCGCCGCCGCCGCTGCCAGTGTGCGGCAACAAAGTCGTACAATTGCTGGCCAAGCAGCTCCGCACACTGCCTTCGTTTGTCCGGTTCGTGGTCTCGACGGATCCTGGCGCAATGGGTGGACATGTACGAGCGGCTCTGGACCGCGCCTTTGCGGACTGCGGCGGCGTGTCGTACATGACGCCACAGCAGCTTCGATGCCGACAGCAGGCGGCCGACGCGGCGGCGGGTCCCGGCGGAAGCGGCGGCGTGCTGCTGTACCACACGGTAATGAAGGAGTGCCTCGGCGGCGTCTCCGCCGCCGCTGCCGCCGTCACGACGGCGGTGGCGGCGGCGAAGCCGCCGCCCACTGCCAAGCCGGTCCTGCCGCCGCTGTCTTCCGCCACGGTATCCGACCTGCACGCAGCTTATTCGCAGCTTTTCTCTGCCGGCATGTCCCGAATAGGCAAGTCTGAGCAAGATGCCGTACGGGGCCTGTTGGAGGTGCTGCTGGCGGCGCAGGAGCCGCTCCCGCTCTCCCTCGTGGAATCCATGGGCCTTGCACCAGCTCTCCATCTCGTGCCGGGGTACGGCATTCTGATTGCTGGCCCACTCAGGGGGCCCGGCGGCGGCGGCGGCTGCGATGACGGGGGTAAGAGGGAGCAACTTAGGGTTGCAGCGCCGCCGCCGCCGCCGCCGGGCCGTTGCGGGAGCTCAAACAAGTTGTCGCCTGTTGTTTACCCCTCCTCTTCCTCCTCTTCCCTTTCTCCGGGGGATCGACACACCGTACGCATTTTGCACAAGTCCCTGGCAGACTGGCTTGGTGACCCACGGGTCAGTGGGGCCCTTCTGGGGACATCCCCTGCCCGCGGGCACACCCGCCTCGCCCGCCACCTCCTCCTCCAAGTCACCGCTGCCACTTCATCCCCATTGTCGTACTCTCCTCCGAGCTCTGCCTCACAGCTACCCGACAGCCCCCGCTCAGCAGCGTCCCTCTGCCGTACACCCTCGCCGTACGCACTCAAGTACCTTGTACGGCACCTTGTCGCCGGCGGTGACCTCGACTCGCTGGATAAAGTATTGCAGCAGTACGGCTTTTTGGCTGCCGTACTCAGCCGCGGCCTGGGGCAGGCGTTGTTGCGTGATTTGCTCGGCCTGCCGGGCCCTACACCACTCGCATGCGACATGTTGCGGTGGCTTCCGGACCAGCAATCGGTGTTGGTGGGGACCTTGACGGGGGAGGACGTGTTGGGGAATGTACTACAGCACTGTCCGGTGGGGAGTACGGCATTCCAGGCGGCGCAGGCGCACATTTTGGCGGCGGCGGCTGCGGCGGGTCGCCCGGGCTGGAGGCTGCAGCACGGCCTGGGCTTGCCTAGGACATGGCCGGCGTTGCGAGGCGTTTTGGAGGTAAGGGGGGACACGAGGGGGGGACGGAAGGGAGGAGGGGGAGGGTATGGGAGGAGGGGAGGGAAGGGGAAGTGTGCTTTCTTTTTTGTTATTTTTTATATGTAGTTTTTTATCCGAATAACCCCAACCACGAATCCTATTCCAACTACCCCCCCCCCACACACACACACCTAACAAATCCCCAATCAACTAACTGCCAACACCTCGCTTCAATATCCCCACGCAACCGCAAACCCAACAACTCCCCCTCCCCGCCCCTCACACTGGCCGCAGGGGCATTCCCGCGTGGTGATGGCGGTGGCTTGGAGCCCGGACGGTCGTACACTCGCCAGTGGCAGCGGCGATGCGACTGTACGACTGTGGGACGCGGCCAGTGGCGAGTGCATCGCCACTCTGCAGGTGCGAGAGGACGAGGGGGAAAGGATCAGCAGATGCCGGGGGGAAGGGGAAATGGGGGGTAACACGAACCACTGGCGAATGGAGCAGACACCAAAGATAGTCCAGGAGAAGATAAATGCACCTGGAAAATTGCTGCATCTGGAAAATTCACTGTCATCAGTGCTGAGGCATCTGCGTAGTCTTGGCGGCGACGTGGCCATAGAGACGAGTTTCGAGACGAATGAATGACTAGCTGGCAAGTCCAAAGTCCAAAGAAGGCAGAAGGCGAGAAACTCAGCAGAAAAACTACCCAGCCGCCTAGGTGAAAGGAAAGTCTTGTAAAAGCAAAAAAAAGGAACGTAACGGAAGCCGTAGAGGTGATGTGTAAAACTAAAGGCGGCAAAGAAATGGGGGAAAGATAAACAATACACACACACGCACGTGCCTGCCTGCGTTAGTTTGTAGTGAGGGATAAAAACGTGGGATGTATTGCCGTACAGTAGATCGGCAAAAAGGGCGGGGGAGAATCAGCGGGATGGGGGAATTGCGCTCAAAAGGAAGCTAGAGCACCAAACCATGCATGTATATATGTATGTATGTCCTCACTCTTGTTCAATTCAACACCCCTAAAGATATCCGTATACTTCGCTCACATACAGTAGTACACCCCGTACATGCATTCGTACACAGGGCCATGCCAGCGACGTCCAGGCTGTCGCTTGGAGCCCCAGTGGGGGGGCCCTGGCCAGCGGTAGTAACGACGGCAGTGTACGACTGTGGGACATGGCCACCGGGGACTGCGTGGCCACATTGATGCTGGTACGTCGTTTCGTCGTACATCGTACGGTTTGGAAGTAGGAGTGGGAGGAGCTGGGGCTGGGGTTGTCGTGATGGGAGAAGGGCGGGGGGGGATTGGGTTTTCGGTTGGTGGGGCTTTCCGGGGTTTTAGGGTTTTACAACACGGAGAAACAGACTACGATGGAATGCAGACCTGTCGTACTGACGGAGGGGTCCAGGCCGAACCCCCAACTCCCCATCTTCCCTCTTCCCTTCCCTCAACCCACCCGCCCTCTCTCGTCCTCTTCTCGGGTTCGATTCGGATTTATATTCCTCTTATCCCCGCATTCACTTCCTCCCCTCTTTCCCGCCCTTTCCCCCGCAGAGTCAGCCCGGGGAGGAGGTTCGCTGTGTTTCGTGGAGCCATGATGGCCGTACATTAGCCAGTGGCAGCAACCTGGGGGAGGTGCGGGTGTGGGATGCGGCCAGCGGAGACTGCGTGCTGGTGCTGGAGGTGAGCTGGAAGGAGAAGGGAGGGGAGTGGAAAAGGGGGAGGAGGGGAGTGGAAGGAGGGAGGAGGGGAGGGGAGTGGAAGGAGGGAGGAGGGGAGGGGAGTGGAAGGAGGGAGGAGGGGAGGAAAGTAGAAGGGAGGAGGGGAAGGGAGGGGAGTGGAAGGGGGGGAGTGGAAGGGAGGGGAGTTCAAGGGGGGGAAGATTGTCCCCCGCATGCAAGCGAAGCTATCTGGACGTAGGGCGCTGAACGGGGGAGGAGCGGTCAAGGGAGGGGGGAGGAGGGGTGTGCCGGTGGGGTAGGGTAGGGTGTGTATGCGGTTGCGGGTTTGGGCAAGGGTTTTGGGGTTCGAGTTTGCGGCCGGGGGAGGAGGGGACAGTTGGCGGAGTACTTGCAGGACGGGAATATAGGCATGGCTGTTGTCAGTTGGTGTGTGGCATTAGTTAGGTATTGATGCGGTACGGCAGCGGCAGCAACAGCAGCGACATTATCGGCGGCGGCTTTTGGCCCCGTGCCGTACATTCTGCCGTAGCCCCGCGACGTCGGCGCCGTACAATGCCCTCGTGCTGTGTTACGTGGTTTTGCACGACAGGGTCATGTGGATGCCGTACTCAGCGTGGCCTGGAGTCCCCGCGGCGGTCTCCTAGCCAGCGGGGGCGAGGACGAGACTGTACGGCTATGGCACCCGGCCAGTGGGCAGTGTACGGCGACCATGCTGGTGATTGGGATGGAAAGGCGGGAAGGGGGGAGAGTGTGATACAAAACACTGAAGGGGACTTTTAGGGTCGAAGTAAACCCTGCTAGACCCTAATAACGATAAAGAAACCCCGCTCGCGTTTTACACAACGCGATGTACGACATGTAGTACATTAGCACACATTCGCATTTGCTTCGCCTTTCTGTATTTCCTCGCCTCCCGGTCAACTTAGGTCAACTTTCAATACTCTCGTACCCCCCCCCCCGACAGGGACACGCGGGTTCCGTTCGCAAGGTGTCTTGGAGCCCGGATGGTCGTACACTCGCCAGTGGCAGCGACGATGCCACCATTCGGTTGTGGGAGGCAGCCAGTGGCGAGTGCGTGTCTACAATGGAGGTGTGTGTATGTATGTACGTATGTATGTACGTATGTATGTATGTATGTATGTATGTATGTATGTAGGCGGCGATGGGGGTTTCGTGGGGGAGAACGGGGAGGAAAGGAGGGGGGGATAGCGGTACGGCAAACCAGCTCGCGGACGGGAGGGCAGGGGGGGACGCGAGAAGGGAAAGACGCGAAGGGATTACCCCCCCCCCCCCGGTCGTGGGAGGGGGGAGGGGTTTTTTTCGAGGCAGGCGGGGTGGACGAGATGTTTTATTGCGTGCGGGTGTCGAGAGGGGAGATGTACGAAATACAAAACAAAACGGTCAAAGGTACGGGAGAGGGGAGAGGCTAAAATGTGAAAACGTACTGCGGGAGAGACGAGTGTGTGTGTGTGTGTGTTTTGGGGGGGAAGCGGGGGGGAAAGGGTGGGGGGTACAACAGGCAGGATGCAAAACCGTAGTAGTAGCAAGAACGGCAGCACGCCCTCTTAACAAACCCTAGGAAGATGCCAGCCACCAGGCCCTCCCGGGCACCCGCCGTACTGCCGTACCTTCCCCGTTATTCCCCCTTCCCCCTCCCCAGAGGTTTGCGGCTTTGCACGCTTGAGGGGGATGGGGACATGTTGGCAGTTGGTCCCACTTCTTCCTTAGGAAGCCATCATCACAATCATTTGAACCGCCATCTCCCCCCTCTCCCCCCTCTGCCCCTCAACCCTCTTAGGGTCACTCCTGGCCGGTGACGTGTGTGTCCTGGAGCCCGGATGGACGAGATTTGGTCAGCGGGTCAACGGACCAAACCATTCGAATCTGGGACGCGGGAACGGGAGTTTGCCTCGGGGGGCTGGAGGTGAGGGGGGAAGGGGTGTATGTGTGTGTGGAGGTGAGGGGGTGTATGCGGGGGAGAGTGGGGGCACCGGGCGCCGGGGGAAAGGAGGGGGACGCAGGGAAAGGGGGGGAGTGGGGGGTTGGGTTTGCGGGTGGAAGGGAGGAGTCGTGTACACAGTAACGCAATGTAGAGGGAAGGGGGGTCACCTCGCTTTGGCGTTACCGGGGCTTTAGTATCCGATGGTGGCGTTAGTGCCTTTGGTGCCAAACATTGTGCACAACACTACCCCCCAGCATGTTAGTATAGTATTTATAGTGGTTATGTGTGCCGTACTGTGTACCAGTTACTACAGATACATAAGTACATACATACATACATGCAAACTTCATACATACATATATACATATATAATACATACATAACCCTATCCCCGGTCGCCCCCCAGGAGTTTTCGTACAGTGTGGCCTGGAGCCCCGACGGTCGTACACTGGCCAGTGGCGGCAGCATCGACCCATGTGTACGGCTGTGGGACGTGGCCGCCACAATTGGGGCGGCGGAGGAGGGCGCGGGGTCAGGAGGGGGAGGGCAGCAGGTACGGCACGTGTGTGTTTGCGTGTGTGCCGATATTTTACTTATTTGTGTGTATTCTTCAAATCAAAAAACGTTTTCGCCCAGGAGGCTACCGGGGGTTCTGCATCGGAGGGGTTTTCCTTCCTACTTCCCTTTCCTACCCCCCCCCCCAGCTTCCTAAACCCCTTCCTATCCTCAGACCCCTTCTGCAGTTAGCCCCTTTGGTTTTGCAAATGCAAATATTCTAAAATTATCATTACCATATAATCTCTTCCCCCCTCCCACCTCCCCCCTTTCCCTCCCTTTCTCCCACCTTTTCCCCACCTTTTCCCCACCTTTCTCCCCCCTCAAGGGCCACTCGGACATTGTCAACAGTGTGTCTTGGAGCCCGGATGGTCGTACACTCGCCAGTGGCAGCGACGACCGGACCATCCGGCTGTGGGACGCGAGTACGGGCGAGTGTACCGCCACCTTGGAGGTAGGGGGGAAGTACGGACGTGTGTTTTGCGTGTGTATGGACGTGTTTGTATCTGTGTGCCTCGATATGTATGTCGTTGTGTTCATTCGCGTAAATGTTCTTTTGTGAATGTGCCTGTTCGTGCGTATGTCTATGCGTTCTCTTTTTTACATGTTTGTATGTCTGTATGTCTTACTGCATCTCTGAAAGACATACATGTCTGTCTTCCCACCTTGTTCGGCAATTCCTTCACACTCCAAATATACGAACACACAAACACACACTTGCGAGCTGACCAGGAACTAAGTTGATGCGCCGTTGATCCGCTAGATTTGGTTGGATGCTGGTGGTGAGTTGCCGAACCCAACGAATACACTCTGAAGTCGGATGGGGTGACGGATTAGGGTGCCCCTCTAGCAGGGGAGAGCAGGGACTGCCCCGGGAAAGGGGGGCGCTGGCGAAGTTAACCACCCTGTAACAACATACACACGAAAATACCTCGCCTCTTCCTCGCCCTCCCCGCCGGCCCCGCTCTCACCCCCCCAGGGCCCCCTGGATCGTGTGTTTGCCGTATCCTGGAGCCCGGACGGTCGTACATTGGCCAGTGGCAGTAGGGACATGGGGGTACGGCTTTGGAATGCCAAGAGCGGGGGTTGCACCAACGTGCTCAAGGTATGGTGTGTATGTATGTATGTACGTGTGACGTGTCGATGCGTGTGATGGTGACGTAGGATGTACGGAAGCTGATTCTGAAGCAACCGGAAATTAAAGGGAGCTCAACCAACAAACCAAACAACCAAGCAATCTTGAATGACATTATTTTTACAACTGTCAACTACTAACCGCCTCGACAGGGTCACCTGGACACGGTATACAGCGTGACGTGGAGTCCCGATGGTACGGCACTTGCCAGCGGCAGCGGTGACAAGACGATTCGGTTGTGGAGTACGACAAGTGGGCAGTGTACGGCCACATTGGAGGTGTGTGTTGAGTGTATATGTATGTGTGTGTTTTGGTAATGGGGGGCCCGTACGGGACAGGGGGGCTGGTGGGGGGGTTATGTGTGGAGGGGTGTGGGTTCATATCATGACGTGTCATGGCCGTTTTACTCGACGGACTGCCCTAGCGGCCTAGTGCTTTATCATCATCGTCACCATCATCATCACCGTTCACTTGTATCCGCACATTCGTGTATATACATGTATAAATTACGTACAAATGCATATATGTATATCTGTGTATACATTTGCATGAATTTACATATGTATTGTGAAGATATAACAATCGACTGGTGCGTGGTGAAAATGGTGACTGTGCGTGAGGGGCCATGTGACGAGCTGCCAATCAATCGTGTCTTTGTGTCTGTATGAGTGTCTGTGAGTGTAATTATATGTAATGTTGAGCTTATGTATGTTTGTGTATGTGTATGTAAGTTTATCTGTCTGTTTGTATGTCGCAGGGTCATTTGGACACTGTTTGGGCGGTGGCCTGGAGCCCGGACGGGAAGGCACTGGCGAGCGGAAGCATTGACGCCAGTGTACGAATATGGGATCCTGCGGCCGCCAGGTGTACGATAAAAATGGACGTAAGTGCCGTACCGTACCGTACTCTCTCTGTCATTAAGCGTCTCTCAACGTTCCAGGGCGGTGACACCGCTTGAGTAGTTCCTTATCTGTGTATGTGTCCGTATACACACACACGTCCCTCCCTTTTACATACATACATACATACATACATACATACATACATACATACATACATACGCACGCATACAGGGGCACTCGAGTGAGGTGCGGAGTGTGTCTTGGAGCCCGGACGGTCGTACACTCGCCAGTGGCAGCATCGACATGACCATTCGGTTGTGGGATACGGCAACTGGCAACTGTACGGGAGTACTGCGGGTGAGCTGTCGGTGGGGGGAGGAGGGCGGGCGGGGTGGGGGGATGAAGGCGGGGGAGGTGTTTTGGGGGTAATTATGTTTTTTCAGTTGGAACGCTGGTCACCTTGTTGATGTTGTTACAGGGTGGTTAAGCTTCACCAGCGGCCCCCTTTCCCGAGGCAGTTCCCTGCTCTCCCCTGCTAGAGGGGCACCCTAATCCGTCACCCCATCCGACTTCAGAATGTGATCTTTGAGTTTGGCAACTCACCACCAGCATCCAACCATTTCTAGCGGATCAACGGCGCCACAACTTAGTTCCTGGTCAGCTCGCAAGTCGATAAAATCACGTTTATAAGATGGGGGGCCACCTCCCAACTCAACACTCCTCAAACACCCGAGAAGTCGGCAGGCGAATTTGAACCCGGACACTCCGGGAGCAGAACTCAGGCCTTAACCTCTGCCAGCCACCTTGTTACTTTCCCCTCCTGATCCCCCACCCCTCCTGCTGCCTTCCCTCCCCACCCGTCCCTCCGGTCGCTCCCCCTGCCTTCCTTACTTCTGGCGTATCACTCTACCCCTCTTGTCATCCCCCAGCTTCGCTCGTTCGCGGTTCATCTCCCCCACCCGTCACCCCCGTCCTCACCTCCTCTTTTATTCCGTCCACCACCACCACTTCCCCCACCACCACCTTCAGATGGCAGTACCCCTCTCCCCCCTCCCCCCCGGTCTCGCAGGGGCATTGTGGTTGTGTTTTCAGTGTCACCTTCAGCCCAGATGGTACGACACTGGCCAGTGGGGGCCGGGACAAAAATGTACGACTGTGGGACGTGGCGGCCGGCGGAGAGCTTGTTACCGTACTGCAGGTACGTACGACACTGCACGCGGTATAGCATGGTACGAAAATGGTTGCGTTGAAAACCCTTCCCCCCGAACCCGAACCCGAACCCGCCTTTCCCCCCCCCCACTCCCCACAACCCTGTCCTCCCCGGGCCCCCGCAGGGCCACCCAGACGATGTGAACAGCGTTTCTTGGAGCCCGGATGGTCGTACACTCGCCAGTGGTAGCGACGATGAAACTATTCGAGTGTATGTCAGGGAAGGTTGAGGGGGGGGGGAAACGAGAGGGGGGAGGGGGAAATGCGATTTCTCACCTACAAAGAGGATAACAAGGGGTATCAGGAAGTTGCGAAGAGGAGAACACAATCTGCAGCGCCGGACTTGCGCGTGATGTCTGTGTGCCTGTCCGTCTGTTTGTTCTGGGTGGGGTTGGGAAGGAGGGTTTACGCCGTACGGTGGATTACGGCACGGTACGGCAGGTCACGATACGGCGTATGTACGGCAAATGCTGAAGTCCGTCCCAACGTTTAGCAAACGCGGTTGAGAAGCACACAGCAAGTGCGTGCGGGGTCAGTCCGGAAGGTGATGTAGCTGATAGGGGCTTCACAGGGGGACTTATTAAAATGGCGATGGCGATGATGATGACACAATTCATACTGCACTGCTTTGCCTGGGCTTGCTGGTGCTGGTGCTTTAATTTGTTTTGATCTTTTGCTGCCTGCCTGCCTGCCTGCCTGCCTGCTGAGTTTGAGTTATGTGTTGGAGAGTTCCGAAATGGGAAACAGCGATGTAACGCTGGATGTTAGGGAGGCAGGGGGGATGTTAATTGGCCGCAATGGCCATCAGTATAATATGATGGGGATGATGACTGCTATATAATTATAATGGGCCGCAAACAGGGAGCGCAAATTGTTGCACTTCTGAGCTGCTCACTATGAGTAGGTGATGAGAAAGCACGTGTGTGCCGGTGTGTGTGTATGTATGTGTGTGTGTATGTGTATGTGTGTGTATGTATGTGTGTGTATGTATGTGTGTGCGCCGGTGCTTTCTTTGTGCTTTAACCCACACCCCCGACCCCATGCGTGCTTTTGTGTATAAGTGTACGGCAGCACCGTACCATCACGCCACCACTGGGGGGCATCGCTAGGGGGGTGAGGAGGGCTGTTTGGGTTTTGCTAAGTTGCTGCTGCTGCTGCTGCTGCTGTCGGTATTATTTTCTTTGTTTTGGGTTTGTTGTGTTTTTCCTCCTTTTTCGCGCTTTCACATGCACACACATACACACAAACACACACTATTAATAAGAAGCGTTTAGTCGGGGGGGAATTGTCTATTGACGCGCAACCAGGCAAGCAGGTTGTTTCGCAGTCAGCACTTGGAGCCGCAATAATACCTGCTGTGTATGTACGGCAAATGACTATTTTTTATGCTGCGTGTTTGTGGCGCATGGTGCTGTTGTGCGTAGCCGGTAGTTAATTAGTTGTAATTCAGTCAGGGTTACCCAACTGCTCATGCCGTCGCGATGGGATAGGAGCTGTTTGTACGACATATGGTGAGCGAGAGAGAGAAAGAGAGAGAGAAAGAGAGAGGCGTGTGGGGATATGGGGTGGAGCCGGAATTTCTCTTCTCGTTCATGTCCGTGGGGGAGTTGTGACCCCTATTGCCGCCCCTTATGTGTATACTGTGTATACGTTTGTATGTTTGACGTTTTTCATTTGTTTGACCTTCATCCCCCAATATTGGAATGTCTTAACGACATTCCGCCAACATGCCATGAGAGCGTTGTGTGCGGCTGACTGGGAGGGCGGGGGAAGAGGGGGTTATTAAGAGGGGGTTGGGGATTGGGGGATGGAAAAGAGAAGGGGGGCAATGCTTCGTGGGCTGTACAGCATATCGACCACGTGGTGTAATAAGGTGTACGGCATCTCCAAGGGGAGGGTGAAGTATTGTGCCGCATCAGGTTTTGCCCCTTGCTCCTGTCCCCTGCGAGCACGTATTGTTGTTGTTGATGCTGGTGGGGTTAAACTCCTGTATATGTGTGTATGTGTAGCTATATGTATGTGTAGCTGTATGTATGTGTAGCTATATGTATGTGTGTATGTGTGTGTGTGTGTGCGTTGGCCAAGATGGAAAAACAGGTAGGCTAGAAAACGGTGTGCTTCGTGTGACTGTACGGAAGATTGTGTCGTGCATTTCGCTCCCTTCTTCGCTGCACCCGATTGTGTGTTTGTACGGTTGACTCTGCTATTTAGGTATGTTTGTATGTACGCACTAACTGGTGCCGTACAACTTCATTGGGCCCCATTGGGTTGTATCCCCTTCTTCCACAATGGGTGCTGCCGTCGCAGCGACCTCCCATTGCAACAGCCCCCCCCCACCGGCGCATAAGTCCCCCCACATGTGTGTATGTATGTATGTGTGTGTATGTATGTATGCGCAGCTGTACATGTACGACATTAATCTCCACAGCCAACGACGTAACCTAACGCACAGCGTTTCTTATATTCATTCTAAACCTAGGCAGGATGCAATCCATCTTAACTAAAAATATTGACTTTATTAATTAATTATGGATTTGTCCATTTGGCCATATCGGAATTCAAATGGCCACTGCGATCGCGAGCCCTTGCTGGCTGTTCTGTGCCGCCTACAGTTTAGTGGTGATCGGCGTACGGCGGTGATGTGTGAGGGCTCGGAAGGGAAAACGCCGTCCGACAGACTGACAGACTGGCTGACTGTGTGCATCCCTGACTGCTGTTGCTGATGTCCAGTGCTGTGATCGTGAGTGTATGTATGTATGTACGTCCGATGTAACATGTCGTACAATCGGTACATCAATCCCAAGGCAGTGGAGTCGACAACATCGTTGACCGGCCACATATACTATACACACACACACCCCACTCTTGATTGGGAAAAAAGGAATCTCAGCATCACGATGGATTTTGAAGGTCCTCATTATGCTAGTCGGCTCACGGACCCGACCAATAAAGTCGATATAGACTTATAAAACCCTAAAACCCTAAATCCTGTGAATGTTATAGCAGATGAAACATTAATGTCTCAACTCAAAAAGAGGGTTTTACCCGGTTGCACATTTGCTGTCTTAGGGCAGGGTCCGTTGCGCCTTATATGCTATGTCAATTATCACCTAATTGCCATCAACATCATCTTCGGTTAGCTTAGTCGGTAGAGCGTACGACTGTTAACCATAAGGTCGACGGTTTGAAATAATCATCGAGCAGATACGATGAGGGGTCATAGCTCAGATGGTTAGAGCTACGCTGCCTGCGCGCCTGCTTAGCGGTTGAGCACCGTCAATGACTCGCAGTAAACTGAGAGCCGCAGCAACAGCACTAACACTAGCAGCAGCAGCAGCAGCAGTAACAGTAACACTAGCAGTGGGGACATACAGCAGCGCCAATTAAACAATTATATACCCGAGGGGTGTTGTGTGTTGACTCATCCTCCGACACATCCAGGACTACCACCTGAGTTGTTGTTGTTGCTGCTGCTGCTGCTACTGTTGTTGACGAGGGGTTGATTAAATTGTGTGGGCAAAGCTCTCGCCCTGAGGAAGGAGGACGAGCACCGTCGGGGGCCCGGACCGGACCGGGGGCCGAAACGCAGCAGCAGTGCAGGGGCGGCCGCGCTGCTCCACATCCTTCTGCTCGTCCGCACGCGCCTCCCACCCACCCTCCCTCCCTCCCTCCCTCAATCAATCAATCCAGCCAGCCAGCCGGGGCGATCTCCCAGCCCCTGGGTCGCCCCATAGCGCTGCCGCCCAGCACCTGTTGTTGCTGTTGTTGCTGCTGCTGATGGGTAATGCAATGACGACCTGAGAGGTTGCAACCCCAAATGAACCAATCCGTAAATGAAAGCACCAGGCGAATACTTAAGGAGATGGGGGTATACTGAGTATAAGTATATAAGTTGAACCCCCCAATACGCGGGTCTCGGACATGTCGGGGTCATCTATGCAGCACTTCTCTCTTAAGCAGGAGGGGTCTCCAGATCTGGCACCACTTGGGGGCTGTGGGCTCTACAACCAGAGGTGGCCGAGGTTTATGAAAAGTAAAAAACTCCATTACCACGGGGTTGTTATTATGTGTGTCATCTCGTCCTCCTCTGTTGTTTGGTCCATTAACATGTACCACACATCGTAGTACTCCGGTAACACGGTGCACTTGCATGCCGGTATGTATACCCCCCTCCCCTTCATTTGAGCAAAACGAAAACCACCCACTCGCCTATGCGGGCTTGGGTCCCGGGGCTTTCCCCTTCCCCCCCAGCAGCAAACTGTGCCAAAGCCCGCACCTGGTTCTCACCGTAACTAACGCCCCTTGTATCCCTACTGTAGCTACACTAGCTGTACAGATGCTATATTAGTCCCCTAGTGCTCCCCTGCGGACTGCACGGACTGCATGCACCACAGCCTGCCATCCACGACCGAGATGACCGGGTGGTGGTGGTGGTGGTGGTCAGCTCCCACCTCATCCCACCCGTGCTGGCGCGGCACTCCGGGCTCTGTGAAGCCTGTCACCTGCAGCCAGAACTCTAGGACCACGTGCCCCTTGGCGACTTCAACCCTGGGCTTGGGTCGTCCGGGTCCCCCACGTTAGCCCCTGGCCCCTGTTAGCCTGGTTGCGGCCCCCGACCCCACCCGTGCACTCTCCGTCTCTGTCAGGGCCGCCGGCGCCACGATGTCCCCCCCCCCACACACACATGGTGGGGTCCCCGGTGGCGGCTCAGCAAGACACACATTGCCCTGGCAATCAGTTGGCCCTAGTGATCGGCATGGCCAACTGGTTCTCGATCTGCTGTATCAACACTTTGGCAGCCGGGCAGTTCTAGAAGTGGTGGGCGCGCGGTGTGCATTGCTGGGGCCCCATCCAGATAGCTCAGGGTGTGTGTTATGGAGGGAGGGGGTTGCTGCCAGGCAGAGGGAGCCCCTCCACCACCAGACCCTATAGGGTCTCCTTGTGCTCGTGCTCCAAATGATGTGGCAGAGCCGACGCAGCATATCCCGCACACATCACGTGGGGGCTGCTGTGTCTGCCGATGCTGCAGCTACTCCCTGGCGGCTAACGTGCCTAATGTTCATAGGCGGCATGCAGTCACGCCCGGTGCACCTCTATCCCCTGTGCAGCTGTAGCTGAGTGGCGAGTCTGACTGTCAGGTCCTGAGTTTGACGGTCAGCCCAGCAAGCAACCGAAGCGCCACCTTACAGTGTATCCAGCCTAGCCTCCCGCTCCGGGTGATCCAGGACGTTCGGTCCGTGTGTGTGCATGTCTGTGTGTGTTGTGTGCTTGGTCAGGCTGGTGGTGGGGAAGAGTCTTGCTTCGTGTCTCAGGCTCAGAGCGTGGACTCCCTTGACTCGTGAGAGCGTGTGGCGCCTCGTCCTCCCTCCCGGGGAGGAGAGCGGAGCTAGCGGACCTGTGGCTCTCGGCTGCTTAGGAGGGGGAGGGGACAGAGGCCCCGTCCGCGGGAGAGCACTAAGGCGGTACTTCTGTTGGGGCCGGGTAGCAGCTGTTGGCCAGTTTCATGCCCGGTCACATACTTGTAACCTTCAGATACACACACACACACACATACAGACACACGCGACGCACACACACTCAGAATGTTGGGGGGAGTTGCGGCCTGGCTCGGTGTGCTGCTGGGTGGTGGATGCACGGCAAGAAATTTTGGGAATGGAAGTGTGAAGGAGGAGCATACATTTGCTGCCTTGCATGCTAACCTGCGACTAAGAGCGTGGGTGGGAGGTAGCCCCAATGCTATCGGGGTCGCAGTAGGTAGTAGTGGTAGTAGGTGGTGCCGGCAGGAGCAGCCGACGAAAGGCCACTGCCACCATGTAATCAATCGGACTCAGCCTTCATTGTACAGTATCCCCGGGCGGCATCAAGATAAGCTCCGGCACTTAGTTGCCTGCTGAACAACCCCCCAGCGGGCAGACCACGCGTAGTTGTGTTGGCCAGACGCGGCCAGTGCCGGAGGTCACAAAGTCGGCGACTGCTTTGTCGGTAAATGCTGCGTGTCCGAGGGCAGAGGTGTGGTGGTTGTGGAAATATGGCAGTGGGGGTGACCCTTCTCCCACCGCAGATGAAAACCTGTAAGCACCCAGGAGCAAGAGGACGAGTGCGTTGGCTACCCACACCTTCGAGCTGAGTCGCGTCTGAGCTCGCCGTGCATCTGAGCTGGTGCTGGTGTGTGAGGCTTGGTTGGGGAGGCAGGTGTTGGATGCTCGCCGCTGTGGGCGTGCAGCTGCATATTCACCTTTGCCCTTCCCCCGAACCCGGGCTTGGCCCCAGGCCCCGAAAGGCCCCAGGCCCACCTTTTCCAACTGGGACAGGCCGTGCTGGCTATTTCCTGAGCAGGACCGTGTGCATGTGCCATATTGGTTTGTGTTGGTGCGACTGCCGGTCGCCTTGAGGCACCTCTTCCTGTACTGCTGGCATGTCCGGAATGAAAAAGATTTTGCATGTCGATAATATGAAAGGAAGCCATCAAAGGCGCACGCGGGTGGGAAAAAACAAAAAAAACGAGGCTTGAACCGCACGCGGGCGTGGAGAGGTCCACCGATGCACATGTGAGCGAGGAACAAGCCACTGATCGCACGCGGGCGAAGCTTGCCACAAAGGGGACTTGAAGGGATGGGAGCAGCAAGCGGGCCTAGGGCAGCTCCATCAGCGGCGCCGCTTTTCGTCGCGTGCCCGTCAAGTCCCCTTAATGGCATAGCAGCTATACAAGCTATAGTTCTGCTGAGTGAAAGGCAAAATGCCTGAAACGAAGAGCGGAAGCGCAATTTGCCACCGCCACTTGATACCGGTTGAACGATAGTCGCACAGAAACAGACTTGGAGGCTCGGATCGCTTCGCTCCGTCGCGTCAAAGTCAGCGTAGAGCAACGAAGCGGTATCCTTCTCAGCCGTTGTCCACCGTCCGTAATAACATAAGGTGTAAGGCACCTTAAAACGTGAGCAAGTAGTGCTTAGGGATCCACTGTCAATCGGACATCTTCGGGGATGCGCTGCAACCGCTTCAGTTCCTTGAAGGCCGGCAAAGTAAATGATGTATGGTGACGGCAGCTCGCGACAGCATTCGCGATTGCCGCAGCGGTGATCCTGCCTGCCAGGGCTTACTTGAAATGAAGGCGGCCCCATCTACCCCTGCGGCCGTTGAAGATGCTGACCCGGCCAATCAAATCCATGATGTTTCGGTCCGTTCGGTAGGAAAGAACGCCGCCTAAATGGCATGGCTTGTTGGCCGTGTCTACCGTTCAGGAGACGACCGGAACGGCTGCACAATGCAGACGCAGGACCCCGATAGCATCGCCGAGCGTGAAGGGTGTAGTCTAGCTAAATATATTTGCGAGCAAGAAACCCACTTCCTCAGGAGGGATGCAACGGGGTTGATTTGTTCCACTTTCAGCTTTCAGAAGTCGAGTAGGTGTTGCGCCGAAGAGTAAGTACAAATGGATTCGTAAGCACAACTTTCCTGCTCTATAAGCAAGGGCGCATTGGAATCAGGTCCTAGGCGACGCCGATCACGCAATGGCTGTCGTGTCTGTCGGACAATGTCAACTCATTCCGGATCCTTGAGGCCGCCACCTCAAAACTGGCTCGCAAGTACACAGGCAACGCAAACATTGTTTTTGTTTACAGCAGATATGCTCAGAGAAATTACATTGCGTGTCTTAATTGCTTTATAGCCCAATATGTCCGCCGCTCTTTGTGCCGGCTTCCTGCTTGCCGCAGTGGCCTTTTGGTTCTATAGACGTTCTGAACGTCAGGCAGAGGAATCGAGGAGGTTGCAATCGGAACTTAAGGCAGCCCTCAGAGAGCGAGATGCTGAACAGCACTTTAATTACAACGTCACCCAGCCAAAGTTGGTGAGTTACGAAGGTTCTGCTTCGATGCTATCTTCAATGAAGGATTTCAGCAATGCAAGTACACTATTTTTCATTGGATCATTTTCCCGCGTTATTCCTGTACCCAGTGTCCCCTTCGTTAGTAACTTCTCCTTTTCTTTTGCAGGAGGAGCAACGGAGACATATTGAAAAGATCGAGCGAATAAACGAAAGATTGAACGAAGTGCTGACTCACAGGGACAAGAGGATCGAAGAGCTCGAGTGGGTATAGGGTTTAAACGAGGTTGGCGTCCTATTTCCGAGGGATGATACTAACCGCATTTTTCTGTTCCTCAGAAACGAGAACAAAAAACTTGATGGCCTGCTGAGGGAGAAAAAACAAAATTTCCGTCGTTATATGCTCGCCGAGCAAAACCGACAGCCGGCGCCTGTCAGCCTATTGACACCAACGTCCGCCACCCGTGGCTTGACGGGTATACTGGGTTTGGCATCGACACCAAATGCAGCCTCTCCTGGCTACCGCTTGCCGGCTGGTTCGGCTGCGAAAGTGCTACGTACCCCTGTCTTCACGTTTGGCTCTCTCTCCAGTCCCTCCACCCAAGGTGGGTCAGCTGCCATAAGGAAGCGTCGCTTGTCTCTGCAAGTACGCATGTGGGTCATACACACACAGCACGGCGCTGTCCTTACTTTGCTCACCCGTCCGCCGTTCCCCCGGTTGCCTCCCGCTTGTGTCCTTCAGGTGCACAGGTCGAGGATGATGAGGCTTCCTTCAGCCGCGCCGGCCCGCAGGTGCGCACCCCTGCACCCCTATCGTTGTGAACTCTTTTGCTCGCTCGGTTACCCTGTATTCTTGTATATGCCCACTGCTGCGCTGTGCAACCGCCTTGACATACGGAGGGCCTTTTGGGTTTTTGCAACCACCATCAAAATCTAGTGGTGATGTTGCAGTGATTACTGGATGGGTCCTGACCGCCGGTGGTGCAGGTCGGCTTTCCTGGCAGCTATCCGAAGTCCTTGGTGCCTAACGGTGGATATGCTGTCAGTTGCGCACCTGACTTTTCTCCCTCACATCGCTTAATGCCCTCTTAATGATATGAGATAGTTTATACTTGGCTGAGGTTGAGATTATCTTTTGCTCTTCCAGGGCGGACATGGAGGTCAGAGCAGCGAACTGCTGCAGCAGGCTCGTCCAGATGTCACACAGCTGGAGGCAGAGGCCGTAGGCCTTCGCGAGGAACTACAGCAGGCGCTGCAGGCTGCGGCAGGCCATGAGGCGGAGGTGTACAACATTCGCGAAGAATTGCAGCAGGCGCGGCAGGCAGCGGCAGGGATAGAAACTGAGCTCAGACAGGCGCAGCAAGCTGTTATGGGGCTCGAGGCCGAGAGGACGAATTTCCGTGGAAAGCTCAGGCACGCGCAGCAGGCCGTGGCGGGCTACGAAGCCGAGACGAAGAACCTTCGTGAAGAGTTGCAGCACGCGCAGGACACCGTGGCACAGCTCGAGGCGGATGCAAAAAGCCTTCGCGAAGAGTTGCAGCAGGCGCGGCGCAATACGTCGCAGCTTGAGGCGGAGGTGTTGGACTTGCAGCAGCAGCTGGAGGCGGCGGTGCAGCAGGCAAAGTCTGCGACATGGGCTGCCGAGCAGGTTGCTGAGGTGGTGGAAACCGCTGCAGCCGCTATTCAGGAAGCTGAAGGGGCAAAGGAAGACCTGGTTGACCACAAGATGAGCCTGGAGCTGCAGGAGCTTCACGAGCAGTGCGTCCAACTGAAGGTACTGTACCGAGGTGCAGCTACAGATGTCGTCAGTCTGGCTTTGGGTGGTCCCTTCTCTTCCACATGTGCTCATCTGTTTGCACAAGCCGCAAGGTGGCAAATCATAGGTGGTCGTAGGTACTTTTTCCCCCCGAGCGACGCGAGCTGTTTTGTCCACGGTGTGGTGTCCGTGCGTGTACGCATCCGTGCGGCAGCGTGCGTGTCGCCTTTGTGGCCACCAGTCGAATTTGTAGCATAGGTGGTAACATGCCCCAGGTCTCCAGGATGGTTGGCGTCTAGAGGTTCTTCTTTAATCCCAATTGTTGATACGGAGCCTATGGGTCATTATTCAGTCACGAAAACGTAGCTACTCTGTCTGTATTGCGAATACCAATCCACGTTACATTCTTGATTGTTGCACTTTTGGCAATGATATACCAGGCAAAGGTGGAGGAGCTTTCCACACGGAACAAGAGTCTTCAGCAGGATGCAAAAGCAGCCCGAGTAAGTGATAATAGAAGTTACAAGTGGTGAGGAGCAAGTAACAAGAATTGTTCTTTGTAATTTATATTATTTGTCATAAAGCAATATTTTTCCAAATTTTGTTTCTCGCTCATAAAAATTATACAGTGGAAGTTGACATGTTTGACAGTTTTGTAAGCATTGAATAAGAAGAATAGAATTAAAACTGTAAATAAAACTTTGTTGCAGGCATTTTGTATATTTTAAAGGTTATGATGAAGAAATCACTGTATTGATAAAATTGATTGGTAGTAGAATAAAAGTATAATAAGTATAATAAAAAAAGCTGGGATATTTCCAGATATTTATTCGATTATATTTTGTGCGCTAAAGCAGCTTGGGAAGACACACTCTCTATAAAGTATATATTTTGGGGTTAGGAAACTTATAATTGACTCCTTGCTGAATAGTTTGTGTACTTAATATTCAAGTCTGCAATAATTAAAAATCTTGGGGCTGCATGAATGGCGAACAGTTCGTGGCACCAACCTCTTTTCCACTGGATGTAGTTCTTAGTGTCTCTGTGCAAGATATGCCATTATCTCACGTTGTTCGTTATCGTTATGTCGCCATACTGTCATCATGCTCCGGATCTCACCGCAACACCGGGGTTTTGCTCCGCATTGAGCATGTGAGCCTGTACTGCCCGTATTAGGAGGCTTCAAAGTGCCGTCGTAGTCCGCCTCGAGTGCTCCGGTGCCCCGGGAGGACCCACCCCATCCAGAAACACATGACAAGTTGGTCGTGAGCCCTAGGGCTGGTAAGACCTAGAAGAGTCCTTACGCTGCGCGTTCGTTGCCTGCCGCGTTTCTCGCTGGAACGGTTTGTCAACAACAGGCGGAGGCGGAGGACCTGTCGCAGCGGAACAGGAGTCTTCAGTGCCATGTGGAGGAGGTCCTGGTAGGTGCAGGGGGGGTTCCGGGGGGTTGCTCTTCCAGCGCGCGGGTTACGGCTGGTCTGTCAGGCGTTGGAGCGTCCCGCCGCTGGGGAGAGGAGGCTTTTGCGTGCGCTGCGTGTGCTGCATCTCTTGGTTCTCGCACATCACCCGTGTTCCATGACCCGTTATACACCGTTATACCGCCTCGCGAAATAACTCCTCGGGGGGCTCTCGCCTCAGACCTGTAAAGGCTCGTGTAAAGGCGACGCTGGAATTTTCAAGTAATGAAATCCTTTGATCTTTGATTAAGACCGCAAGCGCATACGTTCCCGACGTCTGCTTATATATATATATATATATATATGACTTGGCCGTTCATTCGATTCGTTTTGTTAGCTTTCAGCCGCGCTATTGATGTCACCTGGGTTTCCTCCACCTGTCCATTTTGGCACTGTCAGGCGGAGGCAGAGGACATGTCCCAGCGGAATAAAAATCTGCAAAAGGATGCGGAGAAGGCCCAGGCGAGTATTGTCCGCATGCTTTATGAAGGTGTCCGTGTGGAGATTTATTTTTTGGCGGCGTCTGTGTTCCATTGAAGATTGTCCCTGGTATCGCCTTAAATGCAAGTGACACTGATGGGTTCTCAGTCGAACTAAGGGTTTCTCTACCGGTGATGCGATTTCAGAAAGGGCCGGCGACTTGTTAGGTAAATCCCTAGCGCAACAAAAGTGCGCCGTGCATGTATGTGCCACACTTTTCATTGCTGCGTCGCAAAAAACCTTTTTCCCTTGCAGATTGACCGTGACCAGCTCCTGGAAGCTTGCGCGAAGCAGCAGGTGCGAAGTTGGAGATTGGAGGAGGGAGAGGAGCCCGGGTTTACGACCAAAGGGGCAGGCCGGGCCGGAAGCGACTTGAAATGGGCTTTTGTTGTGTGTGCCTACCTCACCCGCGCTTCGGCGGCCTTTACGGGGTGTGTGGATATGCACGATGATGCATAGCTATCGTTATAGTGTACGACGCTCGAACGCGTTCTGCAGTAACGAGTGAAAAATTTTGGATTACTGGTTCGTTACCTCCTGCTAGATGCTCAGGTCCTCTGTCCTTACCTACATACCTTTCGGCCGTCTCCCCAACCTGGCTATGCTCTGTGCAAATGCAGTCAGAGCTGGACTGCCTGAGGTCGCAGCTCGTCACCTCCAGAACGGAGAAGGAAAGCGCGGCGCAAGTCTTGCAGCTCACCGCGGTGAGAAAGAGGGGCAAAGTGGCAGCCGGGGCTCTCTTTCTTTCTTTCTTTGCGTGTGGCTGCAAATAGCCCCTACGGCAGGGGCTGTATGTGAGCCTTATACCTTTCGCCACGCCTCGGCATGCGGTAGTAATAGTATGGTGGCAATCGGTAATAGTATAGTGACAACTAATTTTAGCTCATGGACTCCTAAACTAGTTAGGATTCCTGATAAACAAAGGCGCATGACCCGGGCCCTAAGAGATACCTCGTGTAAGGGCTACTAGGCCTTAAGAGACGGGGACGGGGGGTTGGGCCCGTAGCCACGGGGGATGGCGCTGCTTGTCACCATGGATGGCCTGCTTCGCAAATGATACCCACTCTGTCCACATATCACAGCCATGTATTTCCCGCGCAGAATATTACGTCGCATCCTCTTCGTAATAGTATGAAAACTTGTGGTGAAAAAATGTAATTGCACATGACATGGAATGCTCTGCATGGTGATCCATCGAAGCTGGTCATCCCTCACCACCCAACCCCCACCCGTGCCGGGCGTGAGGATTATGCCATCCCATTGTTCGATACTTAAATGTTTTAGCAAAACGTGCCGATTAAGTGCGACAGGGGACTTCCTGCACGCCCAAATCCGAACGGACTTCTGTCTCCGAGTGCCTCCGCCGTCGGCCTATGGGGGATGTAGCAGCTCCACTGCCACACACAGCATTGTGCATCGACTAACTTCTAATACTTGGTGAACTGAGGTTCCGCTGACTGTTGGAAATATGCGCTGATGAGGTCCCAGCTCGCTGTCCGGGTTATCGGTTTCGTCCCCCTCCGAGTGCAGGACCAGGTCGACTGCGAGCGGGAGCGGGCGTGCAGCCTGAGCGCTGACATGGAGCGCGCCAAGCAGGTAGTGGAGAGCATCCACCAGCGGATGTCGACTTTGGAGAGCGGCTGGCTCTTCAGCGGCTTGGGGGGCAGCTTTGAGGAGGTCTTACGGTGCGGTTGGGGGGTGGGAAGAGAGAACTGGGACCGGGCCGGTTCGACAGTGCACAGTGCTAAAGGAGGTGTATCTAAGAGGATGGATGGAAAATAGGTTGGATGGATCACTGGACGGTTCCATGGATGTGGATTGCCAGGAAGTGGACAGTCGGATCGGAACTTCCGGGATGGATAAATCCAGATACGTGCTGAGCACTGATGCTGCAATATGCATATATTGGTTCTTTTCCTCTTGGCGCAGTTTCCTGGAGCAGCTGGAAGACTTTGTGGTTGAGCGCAACGACCGCTGCGTCGCCCTGGAAGTAAGTCCCTATCGTCTGCATGCTTTGGTCGGTCACGCCGACCAGTCAGTAGGACAGCGCATGCGATGTGAGGGAGCGACTGGAAAGGGCAGGCGGGAGCTATCGGGACAAAGAGGAGTCCTTTGACTTTTGGGTGGGATCATTGCGTCACGATATGGTATCTTGGATATTGCATTACAACAAATTAATTGTAATATGCACATGTATTAATTAAATCGTTATTTTTCCAATTTACATTTGGCCATCATGCCACAGAGGCCCGGCACTGTCATCCTCCTCCTCGAAACACCCTCTTCCCCTCCCCATCTTGACACGCAGGCCCAGGCAGCCGAGCTCTCCCAGGACTTTGACAAAGTGGCAGAGGAGTGCAGCCGCCTGGGACAGGTGCGAAGTGGGAAACGCGTTGATGGCTGCATTGCTACTGGCGGTCAGGCTGTCGGTGTGTTGACGGTGCATGCCCTCCATCGAAGTTTTAGCCCTTGAGATGCGGACGGGCCTTATGCGCAATTGGTGGCCCAATGGTGACCTCCACGTGATGCCCCATCGGTCGGTGCTGTAGGACGTTTGTCTTCCATCATCTTTGTTGTCGTTGTTGCTGTTGCTGATGGACCCCTTCTCCCGAAGCAAATGCGCACCTGTCCATCTTTTCCACCCCACTTCTTTTACCACCACCACCGCCATCACTACCACAGCGCGCTGCGGAGCTGGCTGCGAAGCGCAGCGCCCTGTTGAGCGACGCGGTCAGGCTGACGGGTCTGTGCAAAGAGCTGGAGGCGGAACGCATGGCAGCGATCTCAGCACTGGAGGCGACGCGTCTGGAACGTGACGACCTGGCGCGTGTGCGGGAGTCCCTCAGCCGCAAGGTGGCTGACTTGCAGCTGCATTGCGAATCCGCCGGAGATGAAATAGCCGCCGCGGAGTCCCGGGTCGCGCAGCTTCAAGAGCAGCTGGCAGCCGTGGAGTCCCGGGCCGCCCAGCTGCAGGCAAAACTGGAAGCCTCGGACAGCCGGTGTGCGGAGTTGTCGGGTCAGGTTCGTCAGCTGCTTGAAGCTCCGGAGGAGGTGGATGCAGTGATGGTGGGTCTAATGAACGAGGTGGAGCGTGATGCGGAGATGCATGCGCTCTCTCAGGAGGTAGGTGTGTGAACCGCATGAAAAGGGTTTGGAGGGAGAGAGGGAGGGCCCTGGGAGACTAGGAATAACGATATCTCAAGTGTTCGCAACCATCAACGTACCCCCACCTCACCACCTGGTCTGCAGGCTGATGAACTACGTGGTGCCCTTGAAGCTGCCAATGCGGAGAAGGAACGGCTGCAGGGCCAGGTGGCAGACGCGAACACGCAGGTGGGTCCATTTCTGCCTCCTAACGGCTTATCGGCCTCGTAATGGAGCGGTGAGAGGCCGCTCGGCGCCGTTTTGTTGAGTAGCGAGAGCGAGGGAGGGAGGGAGTACTTTCAGGGCGTGTATGCGCGCGCGAGAGTTCCTATGCGTTCTTTCCTAAAGTTCTTTTTCGCCCCTTCGTCTGTGGCACTAAAACATTCCGCGCAGTCGCAGGGTGACGATGTGCTTGCTTCCAGCCCAGCGTCTGCTCTTTCTGAAGGTTTCCCATTGCCCTCACCAGTTTGCATTTTGGTGGGCAGCAGCAGTTTCTTGTTGCCGACGTATAGGCGCTTAGGTTTTCCTGAACGACTTCTTCTTTTACCTTTGCCTTTACCTTCATCTTTACCTAATTTGGGAGTACGACCACCGGTTCCCTTCAAACCGCAACGTCATATGTTTGATTATATGTTGAAAACGTTATATATGCTTTACAATATGCTTTTTATAATGAAGTTCTCTGATGAGGGTGTATCCGATGTCGGTGTCGCTGTCTTGTGGCAATGGACACCGGGGGACACTTGCAGAGAGAGAGAGAGAGAGAGCTAAGAGGGGGTCGTGCGGAAGGGGTGGGGGATTGCTGGCCCGGTCAGAGGGTTATGTTGTCCCCCAACGTCTCCTGGTGGTGGTGGTGGAGAACCCGCTTTTAGTCTCCCCCACCTGGTGTGCTCCTCCGCACGCCCCCTCTCGCAGTCCTGGACGCTGGTGGTCGCACCACCACCTGATGGCAGCGACTTGAACGAATGAATGACGCGCACGCGTGTCTGACGCCCGTAGAAACCGAAATTCGCACGCAATATAATGGGCCGATATAATGTATATAATGTAGTGCAACGCTATGAAGCACATAGATGACCGCCCGATGTGTCGGTGGCCATGTTGCACCCCATAGTGTGTGTTTGTGTTGCCGTTGAGTGCGAACGCAGTTTTTGAGGCCATTTGGGCCGCCTTAAGTTTTTACCCGGTGCCTTGCTATACATGATAAAATATACCCAAGGGTAATATACGCCGTGGTAGTCCCGGGGAGGTACCTGGACGGGGGGGAGCTGTTGAGAAAGAGACCCGGATCGGGTGTGCGGAACGTGACATACATACAGTGTTGCGGGTTTTGCAAACAACGTCGAATGCAGCAAATAGATGGGCGTGTTATTTTTTGTGCAGCAGGAGGCTTCATCCACATTAGCAGGAGGCTGCTGACATGCTTTTGTTAACTAACTTCTGCGATAGTGTACGTATGCCGGCAGCTTTCTTTGCCCTGTTGTATTACAGGCGAGAACAGATATCGTTCACGAAGCGGAATCGTCGATCAGCCATTAGTGGTGTCGTAGACGTGAAGTTGGTGATTTTGATCTTGTTGCGGGGAAGTTGCGCTTGACCGTTGTTGCAACTGCCCCATGGCCCCTGGATGTAACGGTTGGTGTTGCCGTTCGACTTGCCGCCAAGTTTTGTTTTCCCGAAGCTTCAAAGAAAGTTCTTCTCGATTTGGTTCTTCACATCCCAGAGGCTTGACGATGAAATTGGTTTCCTACCCAGTCCTACCAGATAAGCACGGGAGGGGGTATATGTACACGGAACAAGAGTATGCAAAGAGCCATGCCTTGCGGTAATATTATCTCCCCTAACTTCTCCCTGGACGCTGCCCTCGTTTGCGCTGTCGCTGTGAGTTCGGGCCTCCAAACCTTTTTCAGGCACTGTCCGTTGCTGCTGCGGGACCGGAGACTCGTTTTCCCGCACACAAACTTGGGAATCTGTTTACACGACTTCTGCATATACCTACCATTCATGGTGCTCAACGCAACCGGGTTACGCAACCCGACGCAAATGACATGATGTATCTATCGCTGCTCCCCACCACTGCCGCTTCTTATTGACCCCACCGCACGCCATCACTGGCCATTTAATGTCACTGCAGCTAGCGGCAGTACGGGCGCAGCTTACGTGTACGGAAGAGGCAAGCAGTGCAGCTACGGCGTGCCTCCGGGAACAGCTAGCAGCTGCTGGAGCTGCTGCTGAGGTTCGCCTTCGGGAGCGGCTGGGTGTCGTGGAGGAGGAGCGGACGCGCCTTGCAGCCGACTCTGAGGCCGCCCAAGCCCTTCTTATGGGGGAGCTGGCAGCCATGGAGAGGTTGCACGAGGTACGACGGCTGCTTTCCAGAAGCCTGCCTTGCGCGAGCACTTGGGCCGAGAAGACACGGTTGCAAATGTAGTGTATTAACGGTGGTAGCTGTCGGAATGAGGTCACTGGAGTGGATGGTTTACCGTTCAGGTTCAGAGCGCAGCGTTCTATTATAGCTCCCGGGCCGCAGCAACACGACATTCAGCAGTGGCCGTACTCGTTGGCATGGTTTAACTCGACTCAGAATGATGTTGCTAAGAACTAACGGTTGAAAGCCATGTGGCCATGTCTGATGGCGGTCGGGTGCATGATGTGCAACCGTCACATGTGCTGCGCTGTGGGCAAAAAAGGCCGAAAGCGGCCTCCTGGGTCTGATCCATGTGCCTGAACCAGAAGTCTGACTACCCCCTAATACGGCACACTACCCGTTTCTGAATCGCTCCATGTACGGATCTGTCTCACACACAGGCCGCACGCGTAGAGGTGGACTGCATGAGGGTGCGGCTCTCCGCTTTTATAACGGTTTCGGAGCAGGGCAGGCAGAGCGCGTCGGCCGTACTGTCACAGCTAGAAGCAGCGATGGAGGAGGACAGAGATCGAGCTGCACGCGCTGCACAGCAGTGGCAAACCGAGGCCGACGCCCTGGCGTCCCAGATGCGATCTGTCGCTGCCAGCGTTCAGCAGCGGGCGGAGGACCTTGCCGCCCTTCGCCAGAAGTTGACGGTTGCTGAAGCAGCCACCAGCGCCCGTGCTGCACATGTTGAGGCTGCAATGCGGTGCTTGGCGGACGCGGAGGCCCTGGCGCGGGAAAAGGCGGAATCGCTGTCTCGTGTTAACGCACAGCTTGCAGCGGCTGCACGCGATGCAATGGAGGAACGTAAGCAACAAATTTCCATGCTCACCACTCGCCTTGCTGATGCAGAGGCCCAAGCAGCTGAGCTGGGTCCTCTGCGTGGTCGGCTGGCCGAGGCGGAGGCACGGGCAGCCGAGCTGGATCAACTTCGGCAGCAGCTGGCGGCGGCAGGAGCCCAGGTGGCTGAGCTAAATCCCCTGTTAGAGAAAATGGCTTCTTCAGAGCAGGCCCGGGCAGCTGAATTGCACCGACTCCGAGTGGGGTTGGCTAAGGCGGAGGCCCAGGCAGCCGAGCTGGGGCCGCTTCGTGAGAAGCTTTCAGAGGCAGAGGCCCAGGCAGCCGAGCTGGAGCCGCTTCGTGAGAAGCTTTCAGAGGCAGAGGCCCAGGCAGCCGAGCTGGAGCCGCTTCGTGAGAAGCTTTCAGAGGCAGAGGCCCAGGCAGCCGAGCTGGAGCCGCTTCGTGAGAAGCTTTCAGAGGCAGAGGCCCAGGCAGCCGAGCTGGGGCCGCTTCGTGAGAAGCTTTCAGAGGCAGAGGCCCAGGCAGCCGAGCTGGAGCCGCTTCGTGAGAAGCTTGCGGAGCTGAAGGCTCAGCTGAAGGTATGTTGGGCACTTGCGGTACTTCAAGCGTTTTATGTGCTAAACTTAATATTGTTTGTTTGTCACCTCCCTGTCCGGAACATGTTGCCGTGCTTGGCTTTTATCTTTCGGATTGGACACCATACCGGCGGTGTTTTTTCTGTATGTTATCGCATGGTGGGGTTGCGCTGGTAGCAAAAAACCATCCAAAGGCTGGATGCACATCCTAGATGGTTCCAATGCCCACATATTTCTATAAAATTTTTATATCTGCACACAACCTGTCCTACATACAATTTTTACACGAGTCGTGCATGGTTATGAAAATCTGCAGGTTTCGGAGCAGCAGCGTCTAACCGCCGAACAGCGCCTGACCGACGAGCGTACCTCCCTGTCGGAGCTGTCTGAGAAGCTGGCCCGAGTGGAGGCCAAGAGCCGCATCACGGCGGCTGCGTCTGCTTCCTTGCTGCGGGAGCTGAACCTCCAGGCGGTGGAGCTACGGGTGGGTTTGGGCGGTGGGGTGGCGGACAACGGCGTTGTCGTTGGTGGTGGTGATGATAGCGGTAGCAGTAGCGATTTGGGCAGCAGCTGCGACCACAACCTACCACTAGATTTCCAGGATGCGCCGAAATCCTCTTCTCCTCTTATCGACGTTGACGCTACTGGCTGCGTTGTCTGGTTGGAACTGTCTCCGGAGCGGTCTGCCGCACCGAGCAACAGCAACAAGCAACGACATCAGCTACAGTCTGCTCCTGCCGTTGGTAAGAGGGCATCCGCTGTCGGACACCTCCAAGGGTAGTAGCGGTGTTACCGGATCGAACCGATCTAGCGGATCCAGCGGATCCAGCGGATCGAGCCGAGTGGGCCTCTTAGCTGCGGAAGTGGCAGTGGAGGCAGCGGAACCGCACAGCAAGGCAGCGGGTGTAGGGCAGGGCTGGGGAGCTCAGGCCTGTGGCGAACCCCGCGAAGAAGTGGGGGCTGTGCGGGGCTGTGCACTTTTGTGTGCTTCTCTCGTCCCCGCGATCGCTATAGGTGGGCGCTGCTGACGCGCGGCTAGGAAGGTGAGGTGCTCCATTTGACGATGACGTTACAAATGCATTTTGCGCGGGTTGGGATTTATGTGCATCGCGAGGTATTAATTTTGTTTTTAAGGATGGGCCAAAGTCCAAAGCGCTTATACCGGCATTCAAACTCCTACCGTGCTTTCACGTGTGCCTTTGCGACACTTACTATCCGTTGATTGTATGTATGTATTCGTACATGTACGTACGTCTGGTACGGAACTTGGATGCCCTTCTTCCGGCGCAGGCACCAGGTTTTTCCGTTGACTAATGTTGTACTGTTACCCGTATTACCGTACATGTTCGTACGCAGCGCTTTCTTTGGTCGCATGTGATTTTGCCCTTGGAGTTGTTTTCTACAACAAGGGCGTTGGGCTCCCAGGCCCCTATATTTGCTTTTAGCTGCTGCTGCTGCTGCTAAAAACGCCGGACACTGTAGGAAGAGGCAGCAACGCTTGCTGGTTATCGTTCGTGCGTATGTTTTGACGTTCAGCCAAAAGCTTTATATTGTTCTTTGGCATCAATTGCTTTATGGCCAGGGGGTTGTTTTCCTATCTTCCTCGGACTGCATCGAACAAATCACACGAATCATACATACCTCGGCCCCGTGGCCCTTCTCCTGCCGGGGTTGACAGGGCGGCGGAAACCAGTACGCAGTCGCTAGTGTTCCTGACCCTTTCAACGACCGGTCATGTCCCGCAGCCCGCCCACCATGGCTGCTGCGTTCAGGGCTCCTGTCAAAATGAGTAAACCATTGTAACCATTGGCCTAGTTCATTTTTGGCACAAAAGGCCTCCTAACAGGCAGCAGGTCTAGACGATGTCCCAATTTCTTCTCCCTCTCCCTCTCTCGCACTCTTCCTCTCCCGCCCTTCCTGCAAACTACCTGCAAGCCACCTGCAAACGTTCCCTTCTCTTTGTTGTTTTGGACCTAAATCCAGGCCAAAAAAAGGTGCGAGAAAACATAGGCCGGCTTGGGGGCCCCGCGTTTTCCTCTTAGAGGAATATAGGAATATGCTTGGCAGTTGGTTGTGGCTTTGGTTCCTCCTGGTGCTCATCCCTTCTGTCACCGGGCACACAGGGCCCGTACACACCCAGAGCCGGTGGAGCCGGTGTGTGCGGGCGCCATACATATAGAGCAGCT